ATAATTAAAATTTTAAGAAAAAACAGTAATATTTTGAAGAACGTAGTGCTTTGCAGTTAGAGATCTGGCAACATGACATGAACAGCTGATGCGAGCGCATGCGAATTAGTGTTGTTTTGGTCAGTTTTGGTTAACTTTCGTTATGGAGAATAGTTTTTCTTTAGTTTGACAATTTAATAAATAGTTTTTTTTTTTCACTTTTTGAAATAGTGTATTTTTCAGTACTCAGCTTTATTTGAATTACCGCGCTACTCCGCTTCTCCCACCGCTCTCAACAGTTGCGATGTTGCCACGCACTCCGCGTCACTCACGTCAAAAAAAAATTACAAGTAACTTTAAGTTTTGGATAAATAATACTCTGCAACTAAACGGTCAATTTCGTTCTCTTTGAAGTATTATGTTCCTTAAACATTGAATTAATTTTGCTTTAATTTTGAGTTGAATCTCTCCGCTGTGTCAAAAGTTATTAAACAAGTTGTTATTTTTTTTTCATTTTTTTTTTTGCGGCCATTAGCTCAATGCTAAATACTGAGAAAAATAGTAAACTTTGGCCGTCAATATCTCGAAAACTATACGGTCAAATTGGCTCAGATTTAACAATAATATGCATTAATATGTCATTTAATTTTGCTGCAAATTTCAAACGAATCTCTATGATTCATGATTTTGAACTAACCTCCTTAAGGGAATATTCCCTGGAAATATTCAAAAATTTCATACTTTGAAAAAATTTGACTTTTTTTCTCTTTATCTTCTTTCTTTAGTAAAAACGATTTTCAATGGTGTTTTCAACATACACTGCAAGCCCGATCAGCGGTCAGCTCCGGGAGTGCTTGACCGCTGATCGGGCGTAAACATATAGGACCGTACGAACTGTTTTGTGATGGGTTACCATTACTTGACTACTGAATTTTTTTTTAAGGGGCCAGAGCGTCTTTAATGTATACGCTACTGCCACAACTTTTCGACTCCCTCTTTGCCCCTCGCTCGCACCATCTACAAACGACGTAAACAAGTGACCACTGATCGGGTGACCGCTGATCGGGCTTGCAGTGTATTTAATATTATCTGGGAACATTCCCTCAACATCACCCTGGAATATTCCATAATATTACGGTGAGAACATTTCTTCAACATTATCCTGGAATATTACTTCGATATAACCGTGGAACATTCCCTAAATGTTATCTTGGAATATTCCTGTGCAGCGGACATTTTAATATTACTTTAAGATCTCTGGAACATTCCACTGGAATATTCCGAATATGAAATGCAATATTCCCTTCAATTTAAGGTTATATTCTGTGATACTTGGGTACTTTGTAATTTGATAGTGTTTAGGGTCCTAAATAAGTGTGCCAAAAAGTTTTACAAAATTTTTAATATTTTGCAAGGTGAATTTGTTTGACAGGGGGAGGGGGGGGTATAAAATCCCGAAAAATTGCGTGACATCATTTGTGAACGCTCTTCAATCAAATAATTTCAACACTTTTTTCAGGAATTTTTATCTCGTAAACTATATAAAAATGCTGTTTCATTAATTTTGTTGGGAAATGTTTTTTTGAAATTTTTACTGCATTATTCTTACGCACGTCACCGTCACCAATATTGTTACAATATATATTGTAACAATATTGTTACGACAAAGTCTAGACTTTGGGTTTTTGCAAGTCTAGACAATATAGTTGTATAATAATATAAATTTTTCTTTCTAAACCAGAGTTTGAACATTTACAAAAAAACCTAATAGTGGTTAGAAAATGTAAAAAATTATTAATATTTATAAAAATATAAATTATTTTATTTAAAATCATTGTGTAATAAGACAAAAATTATGAAGTGACATTTTAAAAAATTGTCATTGTACATTATACGAAATGTTATTTTTACGTATTCTCTTACTAAATCTTTCATTTTCGTCCGCTATCCTGGATTCGCCATTTTGTAATTTTAAAAAGTGACTTTGGATTCATAATCAGTGGAATTTTACTAAAAATTAGTTGAAAAGTACTAAAATATCAGTCATTCTTCACTGATTGTTATTTTATTGTAATTTATTTATTATTGTAAATTTCTGTCTAACAAATAATTTTACTAAAAGTCAGTTGAAAATTACACTTACAGAAATATAAGTCATCTTTCACTGATTATTCATTTAAAAAATTATTGTTGATTTCTGTCAAACAAATAAATAAGTAAATACACAAGTAAATAAATAAGTTCCCTTACAACACAGACAGCGCAGTATTAGCGACTGAGGTATTTATGTATATTTAAAAAAATTTCAACACACACTAAGTGCATCAACGAACCTTAAAAAATTCAACAATTTATATTATCAATTGTTTATTAACCCTTAAACCGCACACTGCCGAATCCATCCTTAAACCGCACACTGGGTGTGCGACACCTAGGGACTTTTAAGTGTGTTTTCCAAGCTGGAATAGGATATTTTCTTTTGGAAAAATGATCTTATTATTTAATTTTAATAATTAAAAAAGAAATTTTTTAAACTACTGAAATTACCTCAAACCGAAAATTAGGTGTCAGCAACTTATAAATTTTTCGCTTTCAACTTCATAAAGTTTTCAAATACGCAAAGATACGTGGGAGACAAATATTACTCACGGAACATAAACTTAAGTACAAAATGTACCGTCCAATAGCGACACATGTTTAATTTTTGCAAATATAAACGATATATTGGTGTAAAAAGCAGGAATATGGGTGTCGCACACCCAGGGTGCGGTTTCAGGGTTAAATCTATGTATGTGATTTGTGTATATGTAGGAGTTTATATCTGCATATGAGTACATGTTTATGTACTCATTTGTTTAATTATGTACATGTGATTAGTGTCTATGTGTAAGTATACATGTGTGGGTGTTTTGCGCGCATGTTAGATGTTCATAGAACACTACTGCGCATTCCTGACATTGATAGAACACTACTGCGCATGCCTAATATTCATAGAACACTACTGCGCATGACTGATATTCATAGAACACTACTGCGCATGCGTAACATTGACACAATACTACTGCGCATGTGTAACATTGACAGAACACTACTGCGCATGCGTAACATTTACAGAACACTACTGCGCATGTGTAACATTGACACAACACTACTGCGCATGCGTAACATTGACACAACACTACTGCGCATGTGTAACATTGACAGAACACTACTGCGCATGCGTAACATTGACGGAACACTACTGCGCATGCGTAACATTTACAGAACACTACTGCGCATGCGTAACATTGACACAACACTACTGCGCATGCCTAACATTGACACAACACTACTGCGAATGCCTAACATTGACACAACACTACTGCGCATGCCTGACAGTGACAGAACACTACTGCGCATGCCTAACATTGATACAACACTACTGCGCATGCCTAACATTGACACAACACTACTGCGCATGCCTGACATTGATATAACACTACTGCGCATGCCTAACATTGATACAACACTACTGCGCATGCCTAACATTGACACAACACTACTGCGCATGCCTGACATTGATATAACACTACTGCGCATGCCTAACATTGATACAACACTACTGCGCATGCGTAACATTGACAGAACACTACTGCGCATGCGTAACATTTACAGAACACTACTGCGCATGCGTAACATTGATACAACACTACTGCGCATGCCTAACATTGACACAACACTACTGCGCATGCCTGACATTGATATAACACTACTGCGCATGCCTGACATTGATATAACACTACTGCGCATGCGTGATTTGTGAATTTGTATACATTTGTGTTAATATTGTTTTTAAAAGATATATACATATATATACGGCTAGGGTCGGTCGGTCGGTCGGTCGGTCGGTCGTTCTTCAACTTAATATAATAGAGGATATTTCATCGATATTTTTTATTTCTCTTAAACTTTTAAATTTTTAATAAATTTATTTTTTCGGTATGTTTTTAAATTTTTTTGTATTTTTCCTGAACTTTTTATTTTTAGTATTTTTTTTTGTATTTTCTTCTACTATTTGCTAATGTTTACAATTTTTTTTTTCGTTTCCCGGTACTTTTGGCTTTTTTATTTTTCTTATGCTTTTCATTTCTGTTTACTAGTAAATTTTTTTTATTTTTCTGAATTTTTTGTTTATATTTTTCTAATTTTTTTGTTCTTGTTTTCTGTATTTTTCTATTTTTTTGCATTTTTCTCTACTTTTTGGTTTTTTTTATACTATTTTTTCCGGTATTTTTTTGTTTTCCTGTATTTTTTTATGCTTTTTTATTTTTCTTCTACTTTTTTTTCTTTATTCTTCATTTTTCTAAATTTTTGTTTTTTCTTTTGTGCTTTCTTTCTACCTTTTGTATTTCTCCACATTTTTCTCTCTGTTTGAATTATTTTTGTTTTTTTTGTTTACAGGTATTTTTTTTGGTTTTTTCCTTTATTTATTTTTCTTGTCCTTTTGATTTCTGTTTTTTGTATTTTTCGAAATTGTTTTCTTTTTCTTTTCTATTTCATTTTTCTAATTATTTTTCTATTTTCGGTATTTCTATTTTCTTTTCTACTTCTTAATTACTTCAACCACTTGTAAAAAATTATATTCTCAAAAATAATTAAGAAAGAAAAAAATAGTAATCTAAAGAAATTTAAGTTCGTCCTTTCTTTTTTGGTAAAATAATAATCCTTGTATGCTGTGATTTTACAGAAACAAGTCATGACTTACAAATATATATTATTATTAGTATGTAAAGTATAGCAGTTTTCAAAGTTATGTAACCTTTACGCGTAAGACTTGGTTTTGCTTCATGGAACTTTGAAAACTGGGCTAATTGTAACTACGCGGTTTCTAAACTTGTACTTTATATATATGTATATAGAAAATGCATTCGAAAATGTCGAAAATGAAAATTCACCCCTTATATGCTAATTCACCTCCACACAATATACATTGAGTTATCAACTGTACTAACATCGTTTTTCTATTCTTTTCTCTGTTTCAGTTGCTGGTGAGCAAAACGTCCATTTATTTCAATATTCACTTTCTCCTCGTGAGTAATTATTTATTATTATTATTTATTATTATAAAAGTATTTTAAAAATATTTTAAAAATATTTTAAAAATATTTCAAAAGTATTGAAAAAAGTACTTTTACATTTTCCTAAGGATATCAAATTGAGACGAAAAACGAATCAAAACGTTGCTTCCCAACGCTTTTAATTCGTTTTTTGTCTCAATTTGATATCCTTAGAAAAAATGTGTTTTCTCTAAATCTGAATTAGTAAAAATTGTACTACTAATTGAAATTAGTAAAGATTTTTAAAATTTTAACAATTCACAGTTTCTCTTTTTATTGTATCAAATTGATACTAAATTGGATCAAATTGATACTAAATTGGATCAAATTAATACTAAATTTGATCAAATTAATACCAAAAATTTAGATCAATTTGATCCACATTTTTTGTATCAATTCGTTGCAATTTTATACTTTTAAGTTAACAGTGAATTTTATAATAATTTTTCACTATACAACTTGATTAAAAAAAAAATCGTAACTACTCTCTAAATTCGAATCAGTTAAAAATCATAGTTTTAACTGACAATTTAGGGAATTTTAGTAAAAAAAAGTCGTTAATTACCTAAAGATAATTAAAAATCAAGTATAGAACTTTTTTTTTAATCACCGAATGAAAACAGAAGAATTAACAAATATTTAAAATTAACATGACTCTCGAATTTAGTTTTCCATTTAAAGCTTTTTGAGAGCTGGAAGTTTGGCTACATGTGAACAAAAAGCATCCTACGCGAAGTTTGTCCACCCTTGGTTTCGATTTTCGTTCTGTCGGTATAATATAGGAAGTCTGGCGACTGGCTAGACACCAGAGAGCGAGAGAGAGAGAAAGGGCGTTGTTCGGCATTTTGCTCTCCCTCCCCCCCTCTTATATATATCCCCGTGCTTTGGAACTCGAATCATTCCGTTGGTTAGCAACTATGTAACGCTTCGGAATTGGCACAAAGCCCATCACTTGGAAACAGACAAGAAACGAATATCATCGATAATGACTGCAGTTGCGGCTAACCGCACACAGACTTATGTTTACCTCAAGTACTCACGGTATTAACAATATCCAACCAATTTCAAATGACATTCTCTGTTTTACTTTTGTTCTCTATATATCTAGATTGAATGGCAGACGTGATTTTTCCAAATTGGAAATAATCACTAAAAATCTGTCATTGGAAATTGGAAAAAGGAAGGAAAGGAGAAGAAATAAAAAAATTGTTGAAAAAGAAGAGGAGAATTTGCTTTGTGAGGAGAAAATCTAATTTATATTTTACATGCAAGAAAAATTTATAATGGAATGCGAAATATCTTGTTTATTATTTCCTTAAAGGAAAGAACAGTTTTTTTTTCTGTAAATTATCGGTGGAGTGGAGAAAATTTGTTTGAATTGAATAATCAATTTATTATTTACTACTTGGTCGTATTATCAGAAGTGAATATTTTATATGGAGCGAATAAATTTTATTTTAATTCATTATTTTGATTTGAATTTGAATCACTTTTTAAGTTTGAATTAGTAAAAATTCTTCTGCTAATTTAGTTCCTAATTTTTATCCAGTAAAATTTCTTCTACAAATTTAGTTCCTTTTTTTAATTAGCAAAAATTGGTCTACTAATTTTTTTAATTTATACTATTTGCTAATATTGTAAATTAGTAAATTAGTACATTAGTAAATTAGTAAATTAGTAAATCAATAAAATAGAAAATAAGTGAATTAGTGAATTAGTAAATTAGTGAATTAGTAAATTAGTGAATTAGTAAATTAGTGAATTAGTAAATTAGTAAATTAGTAAATTAGTAAAATAGAAAATTATTGAATTAGTAAATCAGTAAAATTCCAATGCCTTTTAGTAAGAAAAGAATTTGTTTCCCATAAGAAAAAGAAATACGTTGAGTTAATAAATTGACTATATACAAAGAATATAAAGCAAAAATATAATTTTTCATTCACTTTTTTTTCGGACAGTAATTAACTTAATTTGAAAATGTTAATGAGAGATAGATCATCAACAATTTCTTAACGAACCCCCAAGAGACGTGGTCTAATTTGAATAATGCTCACACGCCAGCCCATGTTGGGTGCAATCTGGCTAGAATTAGTTCTTAATTAATCCGCACTGACAATCTACAACTAGTTCCGCTGTCGTTATCGATAAAGGGCGCTAAAAAAAAATAACTCAAGAAACACACATTCCAATACAAAATTTTAAACATAATAATTGTCTTGTAATTAGAATTTTAAATGAAAAGAAAAAAGAAATTAAAAAGCACAAATCACGCAAAAGTGAAATAAAAAACAAAATAAACGTTTTTTTTTCTTCCCACACTGTATGTGATGGTTATCGACAATCTAACAATGAATTATGGTTTACCATTTCTTGATATATATATTTCATTTTGGAGAAATTATTATTTTTCCGACAATGTACCAATTACTGTGGGAATGAAAACGAAAAGATTTTTTTTTTTTTTGCTCTGATAAGAAATCCTTGCGAATTTTATTTTATTTCTTCTGAGGAAATTCTATTTGAATCGAGTTCTTTATTTTTTTTATTAATTTAAAAAACTTATTAATTAATAATAATAATTTATTAATAATAATAATTTATTATCAATTATTAATTTTAAACAATTTAAACAATTAAATACAGTCAAAATTTGGTTAATTCAACCAAAATTTGGTCAGTTCAAGCAAACTTTATCAAATTTATTCAAAATTGACTTAATTAAGTCAAAAAATTATTCGGTTCAATAACAATTGTTCTTTAATTCAGTATAATTTTGGCTTAATTCATCTAAAGGTTGATTTTCCAAAAATTTGATCGATTCAATCAAAATTTAGTTTTAATTCAGAAAAAATAAAGTCGATTCAACAAAAATATGGCTGGTTTAGACAAAATGTAGTTAATTTGGCCAAAAATTGGTCTATTTAACCAAAATCTGTTTTATTTAACCTTAATTGAATTGACTCACCAAAAATTCGGTTAATTTAAGAAAAATTTTGCTAATTCTGGCAAAATTCTGCTAATTTAATTAAAATTTTGTTAATTCACTTAACATGTGGTTAATTCAGCTGAAATTTCGCCAAATCAGCCAAGATTGAGTTAATTAAACCAATGATTTATCCGATTCAATAAAAATTGTTCTTTAATTCAACTAAATTTTCGCTTTATTCAATCAAAAGTGGATATAAAGTCGATTCAACAAAAATATGGTTAATTTAGACAAAATGTAGTTAATTCGGCCACAAATTGGTTTATTTAACCAAAATTTAGTTCATTTAGACAAATATTAGGTTCATTCAACAAAAATTTCGCCAATTCACTTAAGAATTAAGTTAATTTAACCAAAATTTGTTTGATTCAATCAAAATTGGCTTAATGCAGCAAAATTTTTTTTTTTTAATTCAGAAATAAATTCTGTTAATTTAACAAAAATTTCGCTAATTCATTAAAAATTTTTGTTAATTCAATTAAAATTTAGTTAATTCACCCAAAATTTGTCCAATTCAACCAAACCTTTGGCAATTCATTCAAAATTCAGTTAATTAAGCCAAAAATTAATCGTTTCTATCGGAAGAAGTTTTTTTGTTAATTCAATCAAAATTTAGTCAATTCACCCAAAATTTGGTCAATTCAACCAAACTTTCGCCAATTCATTCAAAATTTAATTAATTAAGCCAACAATTTAGTCATTTCAATCAAAATTGTTCTTCAATTCAGCAAAATTGTAAATTCAACCGAAAGAAATCGATTTTTTAGAAATTTGATCGATTCAGTCAAAAAATTAAGTAATTCAAAAAAAAATCGAGTACCAAATTTATCGAGACTTAATTCTGTATTTATATAAAAATATACAAAAATGATCATTGACAGTTCTCGAGGAATTTTGCTCAATTGTACGTGAATGAAAAATAAGTCTTCGAATTGTCGTTCATGGCACGATGGACGGATGTTTTATCACTCTTCTATTGGCTGGAGAGTGACTTTCAATTCCAGTTGGCCATTGGCACGTTTCCAAAATCTACCGCGCTTGGATTAAACTGGCAGAGACCAGAGACTAACTGACATATATCTTTCACTTCGTTTCAACCATTTTTTTTCTCTCTCTTACTCTCTTTCTCTCTCTCTTTCTCTCCCTCTTTCCTTCTCTCTAACTCGTGCTTGTTTTTCACGATTGGAGAATAAATTTTTTAATTGAGAGTAATTTGATTGAACTAGAAAAGATTCATCAAGAAAAGTGCATTTTGTTACTATGGATATTGATTTTTCAACATTGACTAATTTTTCCTACCAAGTTGCAAGTCCGTTTATAAAATTATAATCAACGAATTTGAAAAAAAAAATTCTTCTTCTACTGCTAGTTTTTTTTTTCTTTGTCAAAATGAATTTTCACCGGAAAAGAATTACAAACTTTTTATTTGGTTGAAAAATTTGTGAATAGAAAGTTTTTTTTTCTCTCCCGCTCTTCAAAATTTTCTTATATAAAACCCTTTTACTCTTTCATTAAATTTTCGTTCACTTGAGTTTTTTCTCCAAGAGTTGGATTTAGGAGAGAAAAATATGGGGAACAAAAATGTTATCTTTTAAATATAAAAAGATTTTTTTTATTTAAAGAAAATTTTGTATATTTACAAGAAAGAAAAATAAAAAATATTTTTGTGATAATTTACAAATAATTTTGTCCTTCTTTTTTATTGGTGCACAATTTTTTTTTCTCAAATTAAAAGAAGAAAAAGAAAAATAACGATAAATGTGAAGGAATTTGTTTTGGTTTTTTTTTCTTCCTATTTCGCGAATAAAGTAAGATAAAGCGTGACTTGAAATCCTCTCATATCGAATAGCGGAGGTGCACATTCATGAAAAACGAAAAGTGAATTACGGAAAAGTGAATTATAGACGATCAAACATTTTCTCTTTGTACATTCCTGTACCTTTGG